TAGTAGCGTCCTGGCTCCTAGTAGTAAGGCCAGGAGCCCCTAGTAGCCTTCTTGCTCCTAGGTGTTTCTGGTTGGAGCTGCGGGCGTTTTGTCTCCGCGGACTGCGGACCAGGTCTGCCACAGATTGGCGGGGGGGAGTTTGAGAAGGGTGAGTGGGGAGAGGGAAAGAAGCCCTTTAGGCAGTAATCATTAGTTGGACTAGGGGTACATCTTGATTGGCGAACGAAACTCTAGCATGGCCCTTAGGGAGTTTTCTTTAGCATAGCGGCTACAATGCACATGGCAAATCTTCCAGAAAGGATGATAGACTTTGAATAGACCCGCAGGATACCGCAGAAACACTGGGACAAGGACAAGCATGGAAACACAGCAACAAAGCTGGTTCCTCCAAGTGACCCTTTAAGATGGGGTTAATTTATCCAAAACCACAAGCTGCCCATTCAAGATTCAGCAAACAAGCGCAAAACTGTCTTCGAAAAAAGACAGAAAACGTATCTTAATGCAGTCATGAGAGGATTCAATCAGGAACTGCATTTTGTCAGTACAAGTGCGCCGAGTCAAATTATGATATGAGGCACCGGAAACTCGCCACCACCTTGTGCTACCAGCAACTTTACCCCTTGCTAAATCATCGAATTCATCATGCAACTTATATAAGATCTTAAACCCGAGTTGATGTGAACATCTCACGACTCACAGGGTCAGCCTGCATCAAACAAACCTATATACAGTATACAACATCAACTCAGTTTAACTAACTTCTCAACACCTTTACTGTTCCTCTTCTTGGAACGTCTTCTCACTGAGAGGGTCTTTCTGTCTGTCTCCCGCCGTTGATCTCCGAGCCGCGAAAGCGCACCACGTTCGGGTGCCGCACACGGCGGAGCGCCACTGCCTCCCGCACCGCGGTGTCTCGGGCCTGGCATCGGTTCCACTAAGGAAAGGACAAAGCCAGTGGATCAGGAGGACTGGTTCCTGACTTTTTAAGTGGTAACTGAGATCCACTGGACACGTTTCAACAACACTTTATAATTGTGAGAGGACTGGGGGCGGGTGGGAGATTACGCTTGGCCTGGTAACTGAGATCCACTGGAAACGTTAAAGGAGATCTCTAGCACCAACAAGTTTGAGAGGTTATGGGATGGACATTACACGGAGATGTATCACCCAGCTGAACTGGATGGTGCTGGAAATCAATGGCTAGTTCTCCATGTTGGTCTTACCTTTAGTGCTTTTCTTTTCTCGAAGCCTCTTTATCGATTTTTGATCGCGAAGAAGTGGCACATTCAATGTGTACTAGACTCAATGATTCTGGTTCTTGATTTGGACACCCTGGACAATTGATCTCAAGTCAATTAATAACTTGTACACGGTCAAGGCCAAAAGGCCCAGCGAAGGGGGAACCTGTCGACGCCCATCCCAGGCGAGCCGCTGACTGTGCCCCATCGGTGAATTGATTCGTGGACTCGCCAAGGACCATCACCAGCTTATATGTCAAACAATGGGGTCTATAAACTTCTTTAACCTCTAATAACTTCATGATTTTGAATGTGAATGCTTGTCAATGTTCTTGATTCTATTTAGAAGGAAAACACACATTAAATCAAATTAAGCATTGTAGGAAGCTGATTGGAAAAACATTTGATGACCACTTGCCCGCGGTTGTGATAATTAATTTTTTGGGTATGAGTCGGTATGAGTCTTTGGACACAAGGTTGGGACGATCATGAGTGCCATGAGGGCACGGGGATCCTGGAACTCTGGGGAGACGACATGTGCACTAGGCACAAAACCAACCACTTTAAAATTAGAGTCTAATTATTAGACTAGTCTGGAATAATCAAACATCAAGGAAGAGTGACATTATTAGAGTAACATCAACTCTAGCCTTATTAGAGTAACATCAAGGAAGCGTGAGTCTCCCAAACATGACGTAATGGGGCGCCGATCTTTTTACGTGACGTCCTCGAAAAGAAGTGGACATGTGCCGGAGAGGCGCGCATGTTCAGTCCACACCGCTTCCCAAAAAACAACACACACGTCGCATTTCGGAAGAATCAAGACAGTGTGGGGGAATTGGAGATGAACATAGATGAAATCCATGTCACATGGCTTTGCTGCTTCGGTGTTTTACTCAATCGGTCTCCTCCCAACCTTTCGAGACCCAGCGAGTGAGGTTAAGGAGACTGAGAAGTCTAGTTTGCTGAGAAGCCTAGTTTATCATGTTTGAAGACAAAAAGGATGACATGGACTGTGGGTCAAAACCGTCCGAAAACCTGGTGACCTTGTCATGGTATATATAGCCTCTGTCAGGGGGGCTGCTCGTCACAGGTTCTTGCTGACCGATGGCGACCTCTTTCGATGAAGAACGGATGAATCGAACCGCAGTTCATTGAATTCGAATGCTGGGAGCAGCAGCCCAGCCCCTGGCGGTTTCGGCAGCGGTTTCGGCCTTGGCATCCATCTTCTCCACCCGCACCTGACGCCGAAAAAACAACACGACGTGATGCGGAGTGGTGCTTATAGTAGGGGGGGAATGAGCCCCCAATAGAGATTCCTTAGGATCCATTCCCTCAGTCCCTACAAAGCACCAGTCAGGATGAGCTACCGGAGCCGCAGCCCCGGAGCTCGACACAGTTTCTGCGTCGGTGGATCTCGGATGAGTCGAATAGAGGACAGGGAGCTTGAACGGCGGTTCAATGGCTGTCAAAGTGCTTGAACGGAGTGAAAAGTGACAAATCCAAAGTTTTGAGAGTCTCAAGTATACCTAGGGAAAAAAGATATACCAAGAATGTATATATATATAATTAGAAAACATAAACATACATATTTGTTAAAAGCAAAAATCACATGTTGTGTGTTTTGGATCTGACGGCACGTACCTGAATTTCGGACACAAGTCACCAAATGTCGACCTCACCAAGAACACTTTTCACCTGGATCAAGAGTGAGCCTTAACCTTCAGCTACGAGCCCAAGAACTCACAAATGGCATCTGGTTGTCAGGGATGCAAAAAACAACATATTTTATCATATTTTTAGTACGGCACGGGTATGTATGTTAGTACGGGTTCCGTACTGGTTAAATATGGGCTTTCAAAACACAATGTTTTTTGGAGCAGATCGAACATACGGGTTCCATATGGGTTAGTACGGGTTAAGTACGAGCTCCGTACGGGATAAATACGGCGTCTGCGGCGTCTTCTGTTTTCAGTCAAGTCGCCCTCCAAATTCACAAAAAGGCTATTTAAATGACCAAAACAGATGGGAAGAATCGGAAGAATGCTCGACAATTGGTGACTTGCGGATCCATTAAGGTCCCACGGCACTCACCTGACAGCAAGATCCGGGAGACAGGTGTTTGTTTGTGGTAGCCGGGGCTATTCTTCAGTTGCTTTACCAAAAAGACAATATTTTTCCAGAAAAAACAATATTTTCCATCTCTTCCCTAGAAAAAGCCATGCTTCATCCAGGAGCCTACAAATTGTTGGTGTTTTGCTTCTCTAGGTACTTATAGTTTCCTCCCCAGCCACATGGCCACAAGAGAAAAGACGTAGGAAAAGCACGACCAGTTGCCCGGTTGCCCGGTCGACCTGTTTCATGACCACCAGCTCGTTGTTCGACAAATCCCGAGCCAAAAAGGCCTTGCAACGGAGCCGACGGAGACGGCGTCGTCGATCAACCCGGAGTCTTCCGAGGGTCTCCGAGGGTCTCTGAACGCATCATGTGACATGGTAAAGAAGCTCTAAGCTAAGCTAAGCTTAATCATCAGATTAATATAGTTGATTTGTATCATACTTGCAAGCCAAGCTTGGGAGTTGTATACACATTTCGAAGCACTGGATCTCTTTGGACACGACCCAAACAATCCAATTTCCCCGTACCCAAATAAATGCCAAAGAGGTCTTCTGCATGATATGCTCTGCGCGCAGCAAGCAGCTCTACGCTGACGTGCGAAACGATCGAGATCGGATCCAATGTCGTCGAAAGACGTCAGGAATGAACTTCGGACGAGCCCTATGAAACAGAAAAATCACGACACTTACACTTGTGTTGCCAGGTTCCCAGCTCTTGCCAGGTTCCTAGAAGTCTGCGACAGTTACCACTTGCCAGGAGAACTCTCAACGCCACTGGCTTTGCCGTACCTTACCGAAGGAGCCCTGGCCCAACAAGCGCAGGCGACGGTAGGAGAGCTTCCTTGACACGAGCGTCGCTCGCTTCCGTGCGGACACAAAGCAACAAACAGGGTCTGTTTCGCTTCCGTGTCGCACGCATCATGATGCACTATAGTATAGGCAGTCTAGGTGTGCATGACATGGAACCAGGAAAATAAACAACAACAACAACAACAACAACAACAACAACAACAACAACAACCACAACCACAGCCACAGCCACAGCCACAGCCACAGCCACAGCCACAACAACCATAACAAGAACAAGAACAACAACAACAACAACAACAAATATTAGACTGCAATCTTGGTTACACATTGACGACCATGCAACAAATACAATAACGACCACTTTGGCTTGCAGAATTGTTGATATACATCACTTGAGTCAATGAACTCAGGTCTGAGAGGGTTTATTAAGTCATCTGCCCTGTATGATCTTGGTTGGGTGTTCACACATGCTCCAAGTAACTACACGATATTACGATATTCAATTAAACGTTGCTTTGGGGGTGGGGAGAAATATATCGGCAGATTCAACAACATTTGCTTATCATGTCATTTCAGAGTTAGATTGTTTATTTCGACAATTCTTGGACATTCGAGTATGCTTGCCTAAGTACTGGCCAAACACAATAGGGGCAAAAGTAGCTGGCCAACAACCAATGATGTTGAAGTATACGCAAAGCCATTTGCCAAAATTCGACCATGCGCCCATCTCAAGTTCTGTGGTTCATTTCATTCCTGGAAAACTGCATTCTAATCATTAAAAAACATCGACTCTTTAAAAAAGCAGGCATTGCTTGATCTCTTCCAAGAACCATGAAAAGACCAGGACCTGAGTGGCCACTCGGTGCATTGTTTAGCCACTCCGAATGAGATCCCATATCTCCACAGATTTTGACAAGAAGTACAGCATATGGATCACTATTTTCATATTAATTCACTGTTCACTATGATATGTCAGTATATTTTTTTACCGAAAATCTCTGTAACTCCACTGCCTCCACTCCACTGATCCACCGAGTGACTCATCATCCTTACAGGATGGCATCGCTCCCAAATCTCCATCTTTATGCTCCCCCCCAGCTCACCTGCGGAATGGCACAGATCAAAAAGGCTAAACGAAGGTGTTGGTTTGGGGGGGCCTGGGAAAAATTCCTGTTTCAACTTCTGCAGAGTCTCAAGCTGCATTTTGAGGAACTCGTATCTTCCATTCCCGCAGCTTCGGACTTCAGCTTGTAGGGGAGGCCTAGCTTTCTTGGTCATCCTTCATCTTCTCTTGGGGTATCTGATTTTTTGGAGAATCGTTGCACAATATTGCCTCGTTGCAGGTGTTTAAATCAACATATAAAAAGCACACAACATATATTATCTATATACCTTATATATATATCGTCACTAGCTGAGCTCTCCAATGTTGGAGTGCTTCCCGACTCACCTAGTAAAAATCATCCAGTCCATCCCAGTGAAGCTACTCAGACGGTTCGTGTGGCAAAAATCCCATCCCCATCCCAGAGCGATACGCCTCTTCCTCCATTGGCACGGTGGTGTGACGACAACCAGCGATGGCTCGAGCCGAAAGAAGGCCGAAAAAGCGGAAACGGCCACTGGAAACAGCCCAACCCAACATTCATGCACTGTACCAAAGGAGTCTGCTGATCGGTCTTACCATCACATGCAAACGATTATAGTGGTTTCGATGGCACTGGCACCCAAGTAGATGGATTTAAGGACCATCTAAACCACCTTTTGGGATTATGCCATCTACTCGGTTAAAACACGGCTCACATGTATGAATCGTGCTCAAATGAATTCTGAAGTGGTGGGGAGTGACCAACCACCGGGCTTCTTAGACTTTGACCAATGGAAGCTTCTTGCGCCAACGTAAGATGTTCACCCTTGAATTCGGAAATTGACGATACCATTCACCTCATCAACTTGTTGATGACAGCCATTCAAAGCCTGTGTTCATTCCATCCTGCCTGCAAGTGCGCAATCATCACACGTTTTGAACGATTTGTAGCATGATGCATACCATCTAGCTAGCAGCCCGCTAGCTTTCGCACTAATTACAGCCGGAGGTCCAGCCCACATGGCAAACCATGTCCGACTTCAGCTCTGAAGAGCTTGGCGGACCGGATTTAGATAGATTTACAACGGAGGTCCATTGATGGAAGCCTTAAAAGAAAAGAAACTAATTACCGAGGCCGACTAAGGCCGTCTTGCTTGGAGATGCCTCACTTGTGAGCTCTCCATGTCTCAGTGTCGACAGCATTCGGTAGGGATCCTACCGATGCTCCTAGCACTTGACCTGACACGGTGTCTGCCACTGGCATGCCCACAGCATCCACTTGGCTGGCTTGTGTCACCAACTCCAGTGCGGCCTGAGTGGGGCCGCAGCCCAAATAGACAGCACACACATCGTTGAAAATGCTGTCCAAACACCAGATCACCAACGGCACAAGCGCAAGCGCAAATGGGGCGTCCGAGTAGTCCTCATTTTGTTGCACAGGTCCTGCCTGGTAGAAGAGAAGGAAGGCAACACCACCGACCACAAACATGCCATAGAAAAGGCTGGTGCCCAGCACTGCCAGCACCACCAGGCAAAGGTTTGCTCTTGCAACTGCCATGGCGGTGCTTAATCTGCCAGCCTCTTGCGCTGGCATAACCATCCGCACATCACGTACAACTGAGCGCAAAGCAGTGTATGCTGACCACGAAAAGACACCGTCAAGGACCACAAGGACAAGGATTGCGAGAGTCAAGGCCACTGTAACAGGGCGAAGAAAGTCGGGATTCAAAATGCTCACTCCGCTCGAAGCACACGCGGCTACACTAATGGCAATGATCACCACCATGATTCCAACGATGAACTCTGCATATGTGGTCTTGCGCATGTATCGGGTACGGTCCCTGCCTGCGTGTATCTCTGTCATCTGAAGAATGATTCGCTTGAGCAGGACGTTCGTGAGCGGATTCAAGCCCAGAGGCACACTGGCCAGCGTTGACCACCACTGAGGCCGGCCACAGGTCGCCTGTTCGAGGAAGATCATACCTGAAGGATTTGGCGCAAAGGAATTGGGAAAACCTTTAAAACAAACATGCAAACGATTTCCCCAGACAAGGGATTCACGGCTTTATATAGGTAGAAAGCATATGGAACACATATATATAAGAAATTCCCAAACGGGGATTCACTCGGGAATATGGACCACTTTTTACTCTTCCGGGCCGGTGTCGGCCTGGTTTTCCAAGCCCCCAACATATGGGACGATGAGTCGCAACAGACTCTGCGAACATGACAGGTCAAGGGAGGTGGGTGGTCGTTCGTGTTCACCAAAACGATCACGGAAAACGATCTATAACTGGTCTAACTCCTGTACACCAACTAACATGAGCCATAAACTTATCAGCTATCAACTTATCAACTTCTATAAAAGCAACCCCGATCACCCGGATCGTTCCGATCCCACCAGGATGCCAACGGTGTTCAGTAGCGTCGCCAGGACCATATACTTCACGGTGCGCATGCCGAGTGGAGAGCGAGGACGATCTTGACAAAGAGTTTCAGAAAGCCACGCGAGGCTCACAGAGAGACAGGACCAGGACAGTCCCATGGTCAGTGCGAAGATGTAAATGGATCCTACTGAGACGGATCGGCCTGGTTGAGTGGAATCATAAAGGAAACAGAAATGGTTGTCATAATCATCCGTGCTGTCATCACCTCTGAATTTACTGTACAGAAGATCGAGAGGAAAAGCCACTGTGAAGACAATCATCATGAGAAGTGAACCGAATGTTAAGAGCACGATAGGACCGGGCGTGCTTGCAGCTTGCCAGAGCCCACAAAACCAGCAAATTCCCACAGTCGAACCGCTGGAGAGGATGCAAATCAGGACCATGATAACAATGCTGTGCGGTAGGATATGATGCGGCGGCATGACAAACAATCTGCACGCCAACAAAAAGCTTTCCCCAACAGCGAATGGCAGAATCCTCCTGAGCCAAATTTGAGCTGTCACAGCATGACTTTTGATGTGCTCAGCTTGACTTTTCAAGCTCTGAATCTCAGCCTGGCGTCAAAGAACAATTGCCAGAATCACGCTGAACTTTTGTGGATGAATTCATTGTGGAGTGGAACTTTCTCGTGCCAATGTAAGGAGTTCACAATATTTAATTTGAATTCATAGCAATTAACATCCATCCTGGCACTGAAAAGGCAGTTTGGGTCGGTGAACCGTTAGTTTGTGATCTCAAATCAGTCCATCCGAAAAGGGAGTCCTGTCCAAAAGGAACGAGACAACTACCAGCACCACGAGACCACCTCATGTCGCACCTCTAAGGTGATTCGGGGTGTCCATGAATCACTCCTTAGGGCACCTGGTACTTTAACTCGATTGACTTCAGCTTCGAAGCTCCGTCGTGTTTTCAAAGCTCCGTCCCAAGCAGCGTCGAAGCAGCTGAGGGCTCGCTCCAAGTCCAGCCAATCGGCACTCAGTCCGGCCTCCACCAATGGAGTTTGGTGTGTGAGACACAATCACCAACATCGCCAGACCATCCATGGGGCTGGAATAGTTAGCATCCCATTGGGGTCATACATGGGGTAAATGTATGCAACTATTACCATACATGGATGTTCTGGGACCTGGATGCAAGAAATCCTGCAAACAAATCCTGAAGTGGGAGTGAGCATTTTGGATTCTTGATCTGGTGAGCATTGGCAGTCCTGAAAGGCTCCCAGTTGAGGTTTCAGGAACCGAAACGTTCGGATAGTTTTTGCTGGGACTTCAACAAAATATTCCCCCCATCCGGGAGCCTCTGAAGTTGTACTTCATGTTGTTCCACTTCCAACAATCATCCTACTTTGAATAACCACATTCTTGCAAAGATATAACCACAATATCTCTGATGTTCTATACTACATGATTCAAAACATACCGAATGTTCTTCTCATAGATCGATTATAAGAGAACATTAATGGTATATTGCCAAGTTATAAGAGTATCGATTATCACTTAAATGATGATAACATATATATTAAATATCAACGTTAAAGTTGCCATTGAAACTCATTGATCGATTCTAAGAGAACCATCTCTGTTCTTCCGCCAATTCCACGTCCCAGGTCCCCCCTCGCCTCACGAGACAAGGACGTGGACGTCTGCGTCGCCGGATCCAGCGTCGCCTCGGCGTTCCGTCGCGCCCAGCGCCTGGGCTGTCACTTGCGTATGGCATCACTGGGGGTGTTGCAGAGGTGCAGATGATAAGGACGACCGTCCAAATGATGATAGGGCTTACAGTACTTTCCTGGCATTACGGAATCAACATGCGAACAGGGGCCCTGTTCAATCTTTTGGGTAGGATGAATGTGCAAATGATGCCGCGTTAGGATTTCTTGTGTACTAGTGAACATGCAAAAACTAATATGACGATCGGATCTTCTTGTAGGGTGAACATGCAAATGACGTTGTATTAGGACTTATACAGCATGAATTGATGTTCTTAATGAACGTTCAAATGATGTTGTGGTGGCATTGTGTGTTATAGTTTGTTTGGTTGTTGTTTGGGATTTAGAATGAACAGAACATGCAAATTGAGTATATATATAAGTAAAACGTTTGTAACGTGAACGTGCGAATGATGTTGTGTGTGTGAGAACTTGTTTTTGCAACATGAAAAGGCAAACGATGTAATGCGGTGCTCGGATTTGCTTCGTTGATGGAAGGTACAAGTCATATAAATATTCCGTTAGCACCGCTACTTTTGGAGAAGGAACGTGCAAATAATGTGCTCTGCTCACCAACATTGACAAGACAAATGTGCAATTTATGTGTTGTCACGATCGTTTTGTCTTAAAATGACGATGGACATGTTGTATGTGGCTTTCACTTGTGCTTCGTAAAGTGAACACAGGAATGAGGTGTGCAGACTGCTTATGTGCAAATGATGTGGTCTTGAGACTTGTTTTTGTCCATCAAATTATGCATAACTGAAGTGATGTTGAGACTTGTTTTTGTCGGACATGCAAATGATGTTGTCTATGTGGTTTTTTGGACTTGGTAGGATGAACGAGCAATTCTTGTCCTGTTGTGTTAGGACTTTGGAATAATGAACATGCGATGGGTTATGGTGTTGATGATTTTTTTGGTACAATGAACGTGCACTTGATGTTGTTTTGGCACTTCTACATAATTATATATAACTACGGATGAACATGCAACTGATGTGGTTTTAGGAGTAATGGGTCACGAACATGCTTTTCACATGTTGTCACACTCTTTTCACGTGGAAGGAATGATGTAGGGAGAGAGAGAGAGAGAGAGAATCTTCTGCACGCAATGCGGATGCGATTGAACAGCAAATGGGTGTGGATGGACCCATGCTGAGTCTGGAGCTGGGCCTATCAGTCGGGTACATCATACTGTATGGGGCCCAGTGGATGATGGTTCGGGTGCAGGCCGACGTCTCTAAAATAGATTGTAGATACCAACTGTTACAGGTCATGGGAGTCATGGGACACCCTTCACCTCTCAGTCCGGTCACGTGTTTCTCACATCCCTTCATTCTCTCTGATCCTGGAGGTCATCTGCGTCCGCATCGAGCAGTCCCCCGGACAAATCAAGTTGTGCATATTTGAAAAAACAGCGGTGAAATGGAGTGGCCATCTGTTCAGGTGGTTGAAACCCAGCTGGGGAAGTCATTCCATAGGGTTGAAAAGTGAAATGAAAGCGGAGGCACTGACATGCACTGACCAAGGTCAAGACTGGTTAATTCCAATACCCCATATGCGAAACAGGTAGTTCCATGAAGGCACCCAACCAGGCATGTGGTCGCGCTTGGCTGGCAGCCGAGGCTCTTGAGCTCGGGGATGAAAGGCTCCACGTTGAAGAACCGCAGCTTGGAGCTGGTTGTAGAAGTCTGGGGGCACCACGATCCGAGGATCAAACCAGGACCCCAACTCTTCTAACTTGGTTGAAATGGATTGCTGATCTATCCAAGAGTTCAATGGTTATCGACTTGAAGGAGAAGAGTTCCATTGAACTGTTGAAGTCTAGTTGAAAGGATAATAAATGAATAAACACTTAGGTGTGGGTGCTTTTCATCAGCTCGTTCATTTCAACCCAGTTTCATCAGGTTTCAATGTTGATTGATCAGCCCACCGAGCGCCAGAAAATTCCACACCTCAGCCTCAGCCTGAGACGGCCCTCAAGATCCCCATACCCGAAGATGGTGTTTGGGTGTGATACACTTGGAAGGCCTGGACAATGACTCCAAGAAATAGTTGGCAGACACTTGGTATATCAATGTGGATCCATTCCTAGTCTGCTTGGTGAAGCTTGGAAACAGTTCTATGTCTAAAATCACATGACTTTTCCGGGTGCCATCAGACATTTGAAAGAGAAAGTAGGGTGCCATCCTATTCAGCAGCTCAGCAGCTCATCGCGACGCCGAACGGACCGGACCCACGTGAAGGGACTCCCATCGGTCCATATCGGTCCATATCGGAGCCGAGGAGCGGTCCAGCCGGGTAATTTCGTCACATGGATCCATGCGATCTTCTGAATCTCCTGAAGGAAGCGGTGCAGGTCGAGAGGTGGGGCCAGGTCGAGGGTGGCAGGTGGGGCCTGGACTGGGGGCAGGTGAGGTTTGGGGGCAGGTGAGGTAACTGGCAGCTTTTTGTGGCTGTCAGGCTGTGACAGGCAGAAACTCCATCTACAAGATTATGCTAAGCATATATCTTGGATTCTGCCGGTTGGAAGACTGATCCTTTCTTCAAACGAAAGACCTTCTTTGTAGCACATCTTCAGATACAGCGCCTTCTTCGTGCTGGGCTTCACCTGCACCTTCTCAGGCGTCGAGATGACAAACCTCATCACATGTACAATTGCCATGAAAGGCGCCTTAAATTTGGAGCTCCCATATCTGCAAGGGGCGCTCCCATATCTCTTAAGATATGCTGCCCTTCTGACCCTTCTCTATCCAGAAAGCTGATCTGCTCGACCCTTCTCTTCTCTCGAGCCCGATCCGGTCGAAGTAGCAATGTCATGGGTATCCGTCGCTCTTTGTCCGACAAGATCGCCTTCACATGCTGCCTCGCCGCGAGCCGACCACAGCACCACCGGAGACCAAAAGGACCGGACCAGCTGCGTTGCTTTTGGATGGTTTGCGCCAGGTCACAGGGGCAAAATCAGCTGAACAAGCTGCAACGACAAAGGGGACCTCACAACAAAAGCAAAGGAAAATCATTATAAACACAGTATTATCTGGTCACACGGGACATCTGTACCCGACCTTTCTGATACCTTTCTGACTCACGTGGATGTTCAAATGACCTGCGCGGTTCGGCCAACGCAGTACAATCACCCAAACAAACTGAATTGGCACGGCATTCAATTACAACCTGAGGAATCTGCATGATGTTTCTTAGCTGGCCACTATATGGGCTCACATCCATCATTCATCCAACCGTCCTTTGAGGAAATCCACTTTCCTGGTGCAGAAAAGCCTATTGTCTCTGCCCTGGTGCAAAGTCCCTTCGAATCTCTGCCACAGATCAGAGGTCTGTGATCGGCCGTTTCCGGGCAATTGCATCGGTTATAAGAGTCTACACACGGCCTCACTTGGCACCATTACAAGTAGGCTTCACTATAGAACGATAGGCATCACGAAGAGTCTAGTACTACGTACAAGTATGAAGGCTAAATGGAGGGTGTGTGGAGAAAGGGGGTCAGCAAAAATCGCTTGTACGAAGTTAGTGCATCAAAAATACCTTCCACGAAGTTCTGCGAAGGTTTCTGGGATTTCGTTGCAGTCAGTTCTCCTACTGGCCCACCATTCCGCGAACCGTCCACGAATAGCCTTGGGTTCTACGAATGTCCCGCGCCTTCCACGATGTTAGTAGAATTGGTTTTTGCAAAACCCTTTCTGTGCACTACCCTTCCGTTTGCCTCTGAAAGTAGGCATCCCTAGGCATTGTTTTTCCAAACGATCACGTCTCAACCCATCGAAACCGGGGTCTTATGTCAACAAAATCCTTCCAATCCCTCCCATCAATCCGGACCGGGATCTCTCGCAACCACCACGCGATCCTGAAAATATGTCGCATCTCAATTCTGATCCGAAGGGCCTTTCGTTGAGGAGCTGCGAGAGATCCATGCCCAACTCCTCTTGCACTTCACGGATGGCACACTCCACCTGCCGATCCGCCGAAGACCGCCGAAGGGCTTCACCCCGAAAAAGCAATGTTTGGCGGGTCATTCGCCCCTTCGCTGCGCCCCTCTGCCTCTGTCTCATCATCTTCCAGCTTCCCAGCAGGAAAGGAAAAGGAACCGCGAAAGGACTGCACCATCAAGATGCTCTCCAGCCTCGCGGCCGCGTGTACGCGCCAAAGGAAAGAAATCTCCTGTACTGCAATGGCAAAAGGGCCAACCGCTGGCAGGAAATCTGAATTGTAGATTCTTCATGCTGATTGTATGTCTCGAAAGGTTTTGGGACCATCTCTTACGTCTCCAACGATTTCGCTCTTAGCAGACATGTCCTGCGCATCCGTCGGCCGTGTGACTGGCACACAGGCGCCCCTTGATCTGTGGACCATCCATTATACCCACCGAATAGGGAGCCGGATTTGTTTTAAGGCTATGCACACGAGATGTTGCGTAGGTCTTTTAGGGCACAACAAATGCGACGATGATCTTATGGAAGATCTGAGCGACAAAAATAAGACAGCCAAGTGGTATACAGATTTAAGAGGTTGACATGTGTTGGATTTCACCTGATCTCACACAATTATCACTGAATCCCGGTGCAAACTTATATTTATTCATGTTCTTTCAAACTATAGACTATATATATATATCCAAAACCCTGCAAAAAGACATATCTACCCCATTCTACCCCTTCAACATCTTTAAAGATATGTTATGAACAACAAATGAAAAACATGTCTTTCCGCACACGAAGACCCCGGTGTTTCTCGATGCACCTGCCATCGAAGATCACCGCCCCCGCGCGGCCCTTGGACATCCGCCGATCACCTGAGTGGATTTGAATTAGAGGCTCCTCATGGAGCTTCACGCACCAATCGTTTTGGGGACGAGAAGGTGAAAGCTTCGTTGATATCATATCCGTTAACATATCACATATGAATACATATGATGGATGATATCACCTCCATATGATCTATCCCATGCTATCACCGTCAATCCGCTGCGGTGGCTGCGGTGGATGTGGATTGATCGATGTTCCCAGCTGCTCCACCGACGATAGAGCTCGACCCACTCGTCGGGGTGGCGCAGCGACCGCAAGACCTGCACGCAGCGAAGCGCATGCGAAGCGCATGTGGCGGTGCCACGGCTTTCAAGTCATTTGCCAAGAAGACCCAAACTGACCCTGCTGGAGCAAATGCTGTGCTCAATTCTGAAGAAAGGCTCCTATATAGTCCATTGCGGCCATGGTGTGTCTTAGATCCTCCGCTGATGGTTTCACCTGTATACGGGTAGTTTAGGAGTAGACCCCTTATGGGGCTCTGAAGGTCTCATGTGGGTCTAGAGCATTCTTCGAGTTCTACAGGGAATCAAATGGAAGTCTTGTTTGCGACCCTCACCTCCTTGGTCTCCGCTAAGAGCTCCACAAAGGCGAATACATCCAAGGCAGGATAGGAACCTTTCTCATGTTCCACCTGTGACGGCGAGCTCGCTCGGGCAAAAGAGCGAGTGAGCGAGCGCCCAAGCGGGCCGCCCAGTGGCGGCCCAGAACTTGGGTCATCTTCTATATGTGATCCCCAAATAGACAGTGGCACGGCACGGTTTCCAATAGATCTTGAGTGGGAATCGACTTTTCTATGACAGGGGGTCTAACCCTCCACGAGACCTCCAGCCGTGCCTTTCGCTCTGTTTCCTCCTCGGACCCACCTTTTTATCGGGACCAGTGGATCTCCAATGCCAAAACCGGTTGGGATTCATCGGCTCCACAGATCCCAGGCTCCAATACCAGATCCGCTTCTCAGGATTTTGCTTGGGATTGGCTCTGAGCACAAGAATCCCACCCTGAGAAACCCTTCTTGTACCCAACTGGTGAGGATCCGAGAGGCAATCTCATCCAAGTAGAACCAGTGTGCCTGGCAGACTGCCCCGCGGGTCGCCCCAGGCCCGAACTGGAATTCCCAACGAAGAGTGGCTGCCAAAGGCAACAATTCATCAAAAGGGGCATACAAACAAAAACGAACGCATTTGTCTTTAGTCTTTTAATGACATTGTCTAGTAAAACTCTTGTTCTTTGGGCCCACCCAAGAACGAGCGAGAGGCAGAACAAAAACCACTGCGTTCTGGACCAATGGGTGAGGGATGGTGAGGGTCATGGCACTACCAAACGGAGTAGACGACGAAGACGACCTGGGGAGGTCAACGTCTACGGGTTTTCGAGGGGCTCCAGGTGTGGTTCATTCCACCAGGCGTTTCGCTGCAGGTGTGGTTCTGTGATTGCACCATGTGGGCAGTGAAAGTTCCTTTGTACTTTATCTTTGATGTACTTTGGAGGTCGGGGGCCACAATAGTCAGAAAGCACATTGCAAAAAACAACATGCCACCTTATGGTGGTGGATATACGCCGTATACTTTGGGGCCATTCTGGAATGACCCACCGCCTGATGTCTTCATGATGTCTTACATGATCAGCTAGATGACTTGGAAGCTGATCTCCATTGATCCTCGACTTACTTATCTATGCATATATATAGTTATATAATTTCATCTATCCTGCAATCAAAGCTCCACGAGAAAACTGGCTCCAAACATCACTCTCAGAGCACCTGAGCACGCCGCTGCCAGTCGATGGAACTGATTTTCGCCACGCTTTTCCAATCAAAAGTCCAAGCGGTGCACCACATCGAGCGGGTCTTCGAACTGAAGAGTTGACTCTTCCAACATGGAAATCCAGGTTTCAAAGCCTCTTTTCCCAGTAGGGATCATCTATGTTCCAAGCCTCTTTGCCGTTGGTGCCGTTGGTGCTTCGTGCTTGCTGCGTCGGCTTGGCCGATCGATCGATCCGCTTGTCGTCTCGCGCGCCTCGACGCGTCACATGGACGAACGCCGACGGGCGACGCGACGAGCGGATGGTGCGAGGGGCTCGCTCCCTAACGTGGCCGAATTAAAGAAGACCCCCATCAACCGCGCGAGAGAGAGAGCGATGGCTGAACGAAGAAAAAGCCCGAGTCTTTTTTCTGCCTACCCACCGCCGCGACAGAACAACGTAGATCTTATAGATCGATTGGTGGGTTTGTAGATGTTTGATGATGTTTGTAGGTCTCTCCAGTGTGAAACAAACAACAATTTTTGTCCTATCTTTTGGTGCCAAGCGGACTCGAACTCTCCTGCCATCGACGACCTCGTCTCTCGGTTCATGGGCTTGGACTTGGGCCCGCAAAAGCTATCAACAAAAACAACAGCAAGGAATTGCGTCGATAGCAAGTTCTTCTACACTCATTGAACAAAAAACAGAAACATCGTGGAAGTGGATGGCACCACCTGTTGGGTCTTCGGATGTCATAATCTTCCTGAAAGAGGGTAATGCTTGTAAGATCGTGGACACCATAATTCTTCCAGGAGTGTATGTCACTGTTCCATGTGTCATGTTTGCTCAAGAAACATGCCATCTCTGTTAAACCTATAATGACCTTACCTTACCTAAAGAGGAAGAGTTGCTGGATGACCATCTTCCTCTTTTAACATGTTTCACTCCATCCAAGTCCAACAGCTGCTTGCACGAAGGAGAGGGAGGATCCGGACGCGCTGTTACGTGCACGGCCACGCAGGTGCCGGGCCAGCGCCCGTAAAGCGATCGGAAAGCTGGAATCGTTGCGCTGGGAAAAGCGTCAGTTCTCACGACTCGAGAAGTGCGTCAGTCGGCTGCAGCCTGGCTTCATCGAGCCTCGTGCCTCGTCTTGGAATGAGTGTGAACAGGACTGCATGGCAAGGACCATTGCTTAAATTGAAGAGTCTAGGACGTCAAACAAACCTTCTGACGCTCTGTTGATAGACAACAAACAAGTCTATTGCATATCATCCAAAACAGCAGAAAATACCCCATCGAATGGATTTGATGTAGGATTTCTAGGCTTCAAATTTGGTGAGAACTTGTCCAACAATAGCTGGTCACTCTCACAATAGTTTATCCAAGTTGGGTTTAAGGCTCATCCTCCATGACAACAATCCTCTACACCGATGTCAAATAGGATGGCACAACTAGGATATCCCCAACAACGGAGTAATTATATCACCCACTTGAAAAGAATCAACGGGACCGTTGTTCTTGGCCCGCTCATTCTAGCCCCTTCTTCCTTCTCAGTCCCTTAGGCCATCTGAGTCCACCAAACTGCAACCTGCCACACCCGACATGAGCAAAAGCAAAGGTGACGCGAACTCGGGCGCAACTTGTGGCAGGTGGTTGCTGTCTGCAACCCACAAAACCTAGCTAGCACAGAAATGGGCTGAGACAAAAAACACCAGAAATCAGTAGCAGAATCAGCCGGCAAACGAGTTGATCGTCACTTATGGAAACATGCGGAGCCCTTGAAGAAAAATACATATTGATGGACAATATGACCTGGCTGGCATTCTTCTTATCGTCACAAGTGTTTCAGGCTGTTCAACAAGTAAACTCAGCACCGTAATCACTATACGCATGAACGTACACCAGAACACCAAAACATCTGATGCCCGATCCCTCACATGAACTCTGCAAAATCATGCAGTTTGGACTCACATGATCTCACTCCAAATGGTCACAGGAGTCCAGAAGTAGAGTCTTGTAGAGGCAGGTATCCGCATGATGATTTCCCGTCTGTGTCGTGGTTTTCGCTTGGGTCCCAGGGGGTTGGGCGTGGCGGACCCCGTGACCTGGGTGGTGTGTCCGTCTTCCTCGCCTCGAGAAGAAGTTAGGTGTTCATGAACGACCCCTTTGTGGTTTATAAACCCTTCTGCAGGTCAATATACAGTAGCTTCGGAGTAGATGGCACTACCCAGAGATGTCTTTGACAGATGGGGGTCCATATAAACCACCAAACTTGGGGATTGTGCAATTTCTCGCCTCTGAAACCACAGAACTAGGTGATCTCTTAGATCTGAAGAGAACTGGAGGATGGGGAGGGTGCATCTGAAACAACATGCATCTATTACACATGACAACACCACCTTCAGTAGGTGACCTACTTCGGTCACATAGGCTTCGGTCTCCGTACTTCGGTCACGTACTGAACCGTCCGTCGGTCCACCAGTCATGCTCCGACTCACCCCGTGGTCGGTGGCCACGGTGACCGAATGGTCTCAGCCTCTTCGTGCAAAAAGACCTACAACGAAGAGTACAGGGGGGCCCAGCATCACAGTTTCCATGTGAGTCTGAGCCCTACGCCTGCTTCCCCAGCATCCTGGCGGCCCTCCAAAAAGGACTGCGAATCCACTGTGACAGTGATGTCCTGTCTTGGGAAGAATCGAGTGGTCGGTTTGTGCCATTTACCTATTGGTGGTACACTCCATGTATGCCATATATGCTTACATTGACCCCCCTGGCACCACCCCAATGTAGGCATATATGGCAGTCCCATGGAGTGTCTGGGTATTGGTGGTACACTTTGGTCGATTCTTTGATCCCAAACATCTTTGGAGAACTCTGGAGGCCGACGGGTGAGTCAGTGGATTCCCCGTCGAAGAACATCGCAGCTTAGCCGAGGGGGGGGGGGCACAAATTGATGGGGCGGGTTTCTCTGAGTGCCAAGTATCCAAAAAACTCCCGTGGTATCGAAATATTTGTTTCGTTGGAGGCAATGAAAGGAACAGTTATGTTTGATCACAAACCATGTGTCAAAGGGTTCTTGAACAGCTCTATGAACTGCTTTAATTGCTACGTAATGCATGCTAATACTGTAATGATATATCTGCAATTGGAATTTGATGGAATTGTCACACACATGCCAAAATCAGTGCCAGGTTGCAGGGCAGCAGCTTTCTTTCTTCAACGCACTTCGTGCCGTTGGACAGACTAAGGTCAAATGGGTATGATTCTTGACAGGGAATTCCCCACAATGGGCCAACTGATTCCCAGAAACCCACCATGTTGGCGGTTCTTCAGGGGTGTCCCTATCC